TATGGAATGCTTCAAAAGAACTTCAGCCTATTTTTTTAAATTCTAACATACCGTTACCATCTAGGTCTATTTTTTTAAATTCTAACATACCGTTACCATCTAGGTCTATTTTTTTAAATTCTAACATACCGTTACCATCTAGGTCTATTTTTTTAAATTCTAACATACCGTTACCATCTAGGTCTATTTTTTTAAATTCTAACATACCGTTACCATCTAGGTCTATTTTTTTAAATTCCAACATACCGTTACCATCTAGGTCTATTTTTTTCTTACTTTTCCATCGTCTTTTAAACAAAGGCACTCTCATCAATAAAATATGTAGTTTACTACATCCAAATAACTTCGTAATCTAACTCACCAAACCGACCTTTTATATGAGAGAGGTTGTCCGCGCTCAAATTCGATTCAAGGCTTTCGTTCGTGTGTTTATATTTACAAAACAAATCGTAGAGGACTATAAAGAAGCGTGCTGATTAGTCGATTTGAGCATTTAAATAACATCGTGAATATTTATTACCTAGGTCAACAATACGAGGATTATCTGCTTAAGTGAATCACGGTAGAAATATAGAATAGTTCCAGGCGTGTTGAAGAGACAATGCCAACCCTTTAGAGCACCTTTTTTAATGCTACGTGAATTTTTGAAGCCGACTAAAAAATTCTCCCCAGTCTAGATCGATCTGTGCAAATTGTTTTCCATACACGTTAAAGAAACTATGCAATCGAAAACGTCATTTCTTGTTTAGTCTTTCCCGCCCAAACTAATCCTGTCTACGTCGAATATGGTTCGTCAAAGCTGTAGGTAGACACAGAGGGACTGGGTGATGGAAGCTATTTCTTGTTTTTAATTCTAAGTTTAATTTCAAATGTCGTGTTAACTTATTTCCAAATTCTCTGGACATTTTCTTTAATTTGTATATTTCTTAAAGAATTTGTGTAAATTGCAATGGCTATCAGTGACAGTTGACATATTGCCGAAACAGCCAAATTACATTACCTGTCACTCAAATTTCAAATACTACAGTGTTTTTCGTAATTAAAACCTAGTTTTGACATAATTTTTACCATCTTAATTCAAATATACAAGAAACCATCCAAAGGCTTATGACTAATATCGACTTCATATTCGTGAATTTGTGTCATTTTCAATCGATTAAAACGAATTCGCAATCATGGTGCGACAAATTACCGTCATTTGTCGCAATGTGTCAAACAAACACGAAGTTATACAACGCAGGTGCGACTATATATCGTAACCAAACGAAATATACTGAAAATCAAACGAGAACAACAGTGAAGCGATAAGTTAAGTGTGAGGCAACATAAAGTCACCCAAAAAGTCGAGAAGCATAAATGTGTCGATGAATACCAAAGTTTGTGGAATCTTTGCAATCGAAAAATCAAACAATATTATAAGCTGTGTGAACTCCCTGAAAGGATTGTCACAAACTGGCTGACATCAGATGCGAACCTGGGACTGCTACAATCAAGCTCCCCAGGTTAAATGGAGTTTTACGCCATACCTTTGCAACTCTAGATTGGTCTAATGAAAACAGTCAAAGCCTCGCAACAAAAAAAAATCAGAAAAATGCGACCTCTCCACAGACAGATAATTTCCAAAGGTGAGAAGAAAAATTTAAAATTTAAATAAAAAAGTAGGCGAAAAAGTTATTCGTCATAAAAATCTGTGTCAGATTGTAATTGGTTGAAGTATCAGATGGCAGTGTCTTGTCTAGAATATAAATTGACACCAAGTTGAAAAATATAGTGTCATGAATTTCAGGCCGAGGGGAATCCAACTTTAAATATGGTTTCCAAGGAATGGTGACCTATTGACATATATTTTTGTAACTAGTTTGGAGCCCTGGGTCGGATATGAGCACAGGCAACCCCTGTGAAATGAAAGGTGTGTTTTGATTGGTTAAAGCTCACTCATAATACATCAGTTCACTTTATGCAAATAGCTTTGCATTAGGCGGTGAATTTTATCAAATCAAACAGATCTTTTTCGTTTTAGAGGTGTTTCTCGTATTCGTGTAATATAGACCCTACACCAGTTTCATATGTGTGTTCATATCATGAAAATGGCGGGTTTGAAATTTACGTGACATTATGAATATTTATCATCTCAGTCCCTAATTCAAGATTTGCCTACTTAAGTGAAACATGGTAGAAATATGTAATAGAGACTGTGGTTTAAATTCTGCCATATATAACGTAGCGTGTCAAGCTGTCATTGCATTCTATATTCGTACCAGCTGGTATTACTTTACAACTTTGGTTTCAAATTTATTATCATACAAATGACAATATAGATTTGTTTATGATAAGTTTTTCTGCGTCTTTCGTATCATGCCAAATACGCCACTGTGCTCAATATCTCAATTGTAGAGCGATATAGAAAAACCAATGTTAAAATATTGCTCAATACATCAATTGTAGAGTGATATAGAAATACCACAGTTAAAATAGTGTTCAATACATCAATTGTAGAGTGATATAGAAATACCACTGTTAAAATAGTGCTCAATACATCAATTGTAGAGTGATATAGAAATACCACTGTTAAAATAGTACTCAATATATCAATTGTAGAGCGATATAGATACCACTGTTAAAATAGTCCTCAATACATTAATTGTAGAGCGATAAAGAAATACCACTGTCAAAATAGTCCTTAATACATCAATTGTAGAGCGATATAGAAATACCACTGTTAAAATAGTGCTCAATACATCAATTGTAGAGCGATATAGAAATACCACTGTTAGAATAGTGTTCAATACATCAATTGTAGAGCAATATAGAAATTCCACTGTCAAAATAGTCCTTAATACATCAATTGTAGAGCGATATAGAAATACCACTGTTAAAATAGTGTTCAATACATCAATTGTAGAGCAATATAGAAATTCCACTGTTAAAATAATGCTCAATACATCAATTGTAGAGCGTTACAGAAATACCAATGTTAAAATAGTGCTTAATACATCAATTGTAGAGCGATATAGAAATACCACTGTTAAAATAGTGCTCAATACATCAATTGTAGAGTGATATAGAAATATTAAAACAGAACCTGAAACATTTGCATAAAAACGTCGTTACGTTATAGGCTATTTCCTTTAATATTGAATTACATTGTATATTAAATTGCATGCATAGACCTATTATACTACGTACTATACAGTTATTGTATTTTATTAATCTACCGAATATCGCAATTTTATCTCTATTCTGCTTTATTTTATATTCTTAGTAGATCTGACATTTTTATGTTCCAAGAAAGAAATAGCTATTTTATACACGGATAATAAAGTAGATTTGCAAGGGCCCTGTCTTTGAGACGGAACTTTGACCCAACCTCTTGCTTTGATCTTTCCCAGATTTTCTGATTTTTCAGATTTGGAAAAATGAAGATGACATAAGCAAAGTCTCCAAAGATTCAAACGTTGGCCGATATTAGAATCCACGACTATCATCAATGACAAGGCAAATGCCGTCCTATTCTAACGCTCAAACCGACTGTGTTACAGCCGTTTCAAAAGACAGTGTTGAATTGCGTGAGAATGTAACGTTAAATTGCTAGTCTGAGAAGCGTCACATATTGTTTAACGTGACTCAGTAAACTATATAATCGGTAAAGCAAATAACTTGACGTTTATTACATAATTTGTTTTAGTATTTTTCCTTTGGGACCTCACAAAACAAGCCTCCGGTGTACGTTTTACGTCCTACCTATCTGCACCCAAATGGGCAAAAGACTAGAAACGCGATGGAGTATACGATAATTGGTATGTAATGAATGGAGTTTTACGTCCTACTCTTCTGCACCTAAGAAGAATAGCAGCGTCATGCAGTGTACAATGAGGGAAATTTTTCCAGGACAGTGGCATTAATCTCCTCGTTTTCCATTCCCAACTGTCAAGGGATCTTTTATATGTACAGCACACAAGAGACTCGGTTTATTGTCCCATCAGAACAACTAGATAGTCCATGTCAGCCCCTCCGACCTGCATCACTGACAGGGGGAACCGGGTGAAACTCCTAGTGAAAAAGTATAGTGCTCTTAATGGATTGGCATGTGTTAGTTTCAACTGTATTAAAGAGCTGCAAAGAATATTAAAGTAACAACATTGTCACAAATGAAGATCTAGTGTTGTTTAATAGATTGTACAAGCCAAACTACAATCCCATTGGCGTCGTTACATCGTTTATAATGTAATATCTTCCGCACTCAGAGTATTAACCTAAAAGCACGCCTGTGTTTTTACTTGAGATTTTTTGTTGGATAATCTTATTTTATATAAAGTACGGTTAAAACTGTTCAAAGGGTTTAACCCCAACCGCACCAAATGACCCTGGAAGAAGGCCTTAAAAAAGAGTAAATAATACCCCCAATACCATCTGAAAGCAGAAAGACGGGACTTTTTTCCAGACCTACTGGGGACAAGATGGAGGTGGTGGCAAGATGGAGGGGGTGGCAATATGGAGGGGGTGGAGGGGTGGCAAGATGGAGAGAATGGCAAGATGGAGGGTGGTAAGATACAGGGGGGAGGACGCGGTGGGGGGAGATGGGTGGCAAAATGGATGCCTTAAGAAATTCTGAAAACCAGCTTCCATTCTGAATTCCATTACTGCAAATATACACCATTACTTGCCCCTCTGAATAATCAAGTCTGGCTACGTGCCTGATGGTTTTGTTACAGGCCTTACTTTGAAAAAAAAATAATTGATTACATAATGTTGACGTCGGTGAAAGTTCATTCACTTGCAAATAGTTTCGAATTTCGAACTGTGAATTTGAATGGTGCATATCAATGCTATCAGTGTGAATGAAACACATAGAAAGTTTAGAAAACCTCTTTATAATCCCTTTAAATATTGCACATATATAACGAAACTGTTCAGGGGCTTTCAGCTTATATGGCAGATATGTATATCTACGGGCTTTTTAATTTACGAAAAGTTATAAGTAAATATTTAAAATTTTCAATTTAAAGGGACTTACCTTGCAAATATCGTATTAAGATACACATGACTTCACCAAATATAAAGTTTTTCATAATAATAGGGATCAAGGTAAAAGGCATACAGAAAACAGCTAGTAACAGATCAGTAATAGCTAGATTAAACAAAAATACATTCGTTACAGTCCGCATTTTCTTATTTTGAATCAATGTCACAATCACTAAAGCATTTCCAACTACGCCCAAGAGGAAGATGATCGAATACAACGTTATCTGTACTTCCATGTTGATTCCTTTAGAACGTCGCATGCCCCTTAAAATTGGGCTAGTGACATTTGTCAGCATGTCTTGTGTCGTGAACGTCATGTTTGAAAAATCGGACATATTGTCCGAGCAGTCCACCGAACAGTTACTAGTATCCGAACTGTATTCCATTGTGACTAAAGCTGACTTAACGTTCACATTAACAGGCACGGGAGTTCAGATCCATCAAATAACCCGTCTACACTCAATCTATATGGCTATAACACACGCCAGTTTTTAAGATCAGCTCAAAAGAAATGGATGGAGTTTTACGCCCCCGTCTTTTGCAGATTCGTTCAAGAGCTGAGGAAAATATCGTCGTTGTTTAGCACTTTACACTAGCATTGTCCTAACAACCCGAGAAGCACTGTGTTCCAGACATACTTTAAGCCGCTACAAATATCAAGCAAAGCCAGCCAATCTCGTTTTCCAACGTTCGTCAAGTTTTCCCAAATGTGCTTCTTTCTTAACACTATTTAAAACGTTTCATTGGTTTCCCTTCAGCATTGGTAAAGGTTAAACAAAATGAGTAACAGATATGAGTCCCTTAAAACATCAACAAAAGGTAGCAAATCTCTTTTTTGCAAACCCTGGTCGCTACAATTTCGCCAAGTCCTCCCAAACGTGCTTACTTGTTGACAGTATTTAAATCGTTTTATTGGTTTCTCTTTAACAATTGATAATGGTTAATCGCAATAAGAACCAGATATGCCTTGTGTCGTTATAAACCCCCACCGGGACTAGACAATCACTCAAATACACCTGTTCGACAGCTTGTCTCAAGTAATGTTTTACCAATTGGAGTCTCGCTAATCAGCACAATGTTTCCGAAAGCTTCAATGTCGTAAAGTATGTCTAAAGTTGAATAGACGTAGGAAAACTAAAGCGCAAAGTTTCTCAAAGTTCCAATAAGATAAAACAAGACAAACTAAAGGTTCCACAGACAAACTCAAAGTTCCACAGACAAACTCAAAGTTCCACAGATAAACTCAAAGTTCCACGGATAAACTCAAAGTTCCACGGACAAACTCAAAGTTCCACAGACAAACTCAAAGTTTCAAAGACAAACTAAAGGTTCCACAGACAAACTCAGAGTTCCACAGACAAACTCAAAGTTCCACGGACAAACTCAAATTTCCACGGACAACTCAAAGTTTCACGGACAAACTCAAAGTTCCATAGGTAAACGCAAAGTTCCGATATACGAAGTTATGTTATTCTGACAATTGAGAGTTTCTAGAAGTTCCAATAAGATATGATATTGTCCGAATAATGATCTATTTAATGAAGCTGACGTAAACACCACAAAGTCCAAAGTCCCACTTAGTTAAAGCACCTCACAAGCAATATTGCCGCTGGAGAGAAATAATATAATCGACACCACTGGACAACACAAGTTCCAATGTGATACAATTCCTGAAGTCACGCTTTAAGGCTTGGGACTAAAATCAAGTGTAGATATCCACCGCGTTGAGACTGGAATTGTCAAATCAGTGTATTGAAAATAGCTTCCTGGAGAACTCACGATTGTGATTGATAAATGACGGACACTTTATAGTTAACTGATTAACTTCCGTTCTTCTGTATTCACTTCCGCACTAGACGTAATATCCGCTTTGAAATATATCCCGGACTCAAATGCTTTCTTAAAATCACTAATTATTCAAATGAAATGCTTTCAGAAATTTTCATTCAGAAACTATTTTACGCGTCAGTAAAATCTAAAGTTAACTTTTAAAAATACCGTTACACGTTTAACTAAGTCAAATCACCAAAACGTCGATTATTTCGTCCTCGATATCAAATACTTGGAACTGATTACATCTGTCCAAGAACAAAAGTTTTGAGGTAATATTTCATCTAAAAATGTAAGACAAACGCTACCACCACGGCGCGGAAAATTGTAGCCGCAGAAAATATAATTAAGCACTGGCGAGATAAAACTGCCACGGTAGATGTCAAAATATCTGAACACTGAACTCTTTTCTGAAGACAACTAGAATGATTAAAAATGTTTTTACACGTTACGGTATTGTAGTTATCATAGGTATAATATTATAACTTATAACTTATCTGATTGGCGCGTGCCTTTTCCCGCATAAATATATACCTTAGTGTCATGAATGTCGCGCGCCAGTTTCATCTTATATATTCCATTCCCCAAACACCACGATAATTGATTTCTTTGAAGCCGAAATATTTGTAATAATTATACAAAATTTTTATTTCGCTTTTATGTTTCATAAATAATAACCCAATTCTACAATTACTAACTTATTCTTTCTATTTCCAATTAGTTCAACTTTATGTGGAATCCAAGAAACTAATTATTGTCGAAAGAAATTAATTGAATGGCTCACAAATCTCTAGAAAATGGACAAAGTCAAAGATTAGTGTGTAAAGGTTCACGAAATTATCTAATAACCATCAAACCAAACTTCTAACACAGTGCAGGTGCGCTGATGTTTATTATGCCTCGATGTACGTACTAATCTTTAAAGGGACAGGTCGGCAATTTCGAAGGTTGATTTGGGGCTTAAATATATGAAAATGTCTTCAGAAGTACGGTACTAAAAATTTACGAAAATCGCATATTTCCTTCAAAAATACAAACCAGAAAATCCACTTTTTATTCATTTAGTTTGCAAGCTTATCTTTTGTCTGAAAATTGGGGTATCCGAAAGTTGAACGTCTTGTTGATATAGACTCTGACATTTTTCGTCACAGCTGTGTATTGTCGAAGTGAGTCAGGATGTTTGACTGTATACAAGTGCCGTCATTAACCGAACTTCAACATGGAGGATCTTGGAAAAGCGACCTGTCTTTTTAACTTTCGAACTAATAATATAATTATAGATACACGTAGCTTAGAATACTATAACATATTAGCTTAACCTAACATTTCCGTTTCTAAGACAAAGTTAAGAATAACTCCTGAAAATGGCGAATCTGACCCTGTAAGATTTCAAGACAATAAAAAACAATTTCTAAATATAGTATATTTCTTCACAGTTAATGTTATTTTCTTCTAAATTAAGGATTTTAACGCATTCACAGTTTTTATATTCATTGCGTCATAACAAGGGCAATGGTATTAAATGTCCAAGGATGACAGTCTATTCTGACATGTATTCCCTTTTCCCCGGAGATGTCAAACTTATCATATGGTACGTCGTATAAGAACAAATAAAGTACAAACGATACGCTAGTGTGTCTTTCATAGAAATTATTTGTTGACAGTTTAGATCTTCATGCAACTCTATATCCATAAACCGAATCCACAAAAACAAATAGATACACGCTGAAATAGTCCAGCCGGCAACAAGTTGGATTGTTGTCTCCTAGGGAATTCGGTTCCGTAGATTTAGATCATCCACTACCTAGCCTGCATTGTTGAATTGGACGTAAACTTGCCATCTACCAACAACTACCTAGTCTGCGATATCAGTTAGCTGGAAGCGGCCATTAACTTGTCATCTACCAACAACTACCTAGCCTATGATATCAGTTAGCTGGAAGCGGACGTTAATTGTCATCTACCAACAACTACCTGGTCTGCGATGTCAGTTAGCTGGATGCAGACGTTAAATTGCCATTCACCAACAACGACCTAGTCTGCGATATCATTAGCTGGAAGTGGACGTTAACTTAACAGACAGTCCTTTTCCAGCAGTTCATCCGTATTTGAGGCTGACGCATTCAATACCCGTCCATCAGCCTCTACTCAAACACACTTCGACTATTGATACAGAGTCGGAATAATCTCATCTGCCATAATGAACAAGTTAAGTGACACTTCGGTCATCATGAGTGGAAGAAACGGCACTCGACTAGAGTAATATCAGTGAGAGTTGCATTGAATTGCTAGCTTTATCCTTTTCAATCTGTTGTATAGTGCTCTAGTTTCAATCACTCACACGAGAGTTGGTGTGTTCCGTTTTAGAGCATATACTTCCTCACACGTTGATCTGAAATGTGGGTCTTATCTATGCGCATATGAAAATAGCTGTTATGTCTTTGCGAAATAAGGCAAACAATTTTTTATAAAGTTGGCTTAAGATTACTGTATTTTGTCAAATTGAGTAATGAAGCAAAATAATTTGATGCCTATTTCGAATCTCGAAATTTTTAAATATGTTTCGATCAAGACAATTTTCATTGAAGAAAAGGCAATTGGCAACCACTGGTAACATGTTTCACTTGTTCATTCATAAAAGACAATAGTACCGCCTCTTATAAGAATTCAATCAATAATAATTGAACAAAGTGTGTTATTGATTGTCTGATTGGCCATTTAGCCCTGTCATTCAAGCGGTTATGAATGAAATGTTTGTAAGGAATGATGAAGGAGCAGATGATGGAATTGTCTTCGTTGTCAACCTAACGACGCTCGGTGGCTTTTCAACGAATAGCTAAGTGAGGGGCGGGGCAGCGAGTGGTTCGAAAAGGAGCCACAAAATCGTCAAGTTGGGCAAAGAGGCACTTATTTCAAATGTACAAGGCATATGAATGTGGGGGTCCAGATTCTAGTCAGCCTCCTTTCTAGGGAGACCATAATGACCCCTACCCCTATCCTGATACCCCCTCCTAAAATGGCAGGGTATTGCGAAATCAACATAGAATCATGAGTTTTATCGACCCCGATATTGCTGCAACAAATTATAAGGAATATAAAATTAAAGGAAGCTACAGAATGGCTCTCCCGGGGGCAGATTATATGGAAGGTGAAGCCAGACATAAATTGAGTTTGACAAAAGCTTCAATTAATTTAAGGAAATAACTACAAGAAAATGAACAATTCGGATTCAAGGTTTACAGAAAAATAATGCACACATAGAATGTACTTGTATAACAACCCAGAGTTATGTGATGTCTGTTGTTTGTATAAACAGACAATATTACAACAGTAGACCACCAGCTAGAATATAACCAGTAATTGTATAGTGAAATTTTTTTTATTGTTTGTATAAACCTAGATGTAGTACAACAATGGTGATGTCTGTTGTTTTTTTTTAAATATAAATGGAGTACAAAAGTGAAGCACTCTCTGAAAATAACTGATAGTTTTGAAGTCTGGTGCTACTATAAACAGATATATAATCTTAACTACAGTGGACTTCCCTCTAAAATATAACTACCTGGTGAGTTAACGTTTGTTCGCTAACCTGAAGGCCCAGGGTTCAGTCCCAACATGGATCAACCCGGTTTCCTTCTGTGAGTGATGCGAGTCCGAGGAGCTAACATGGAACGAGTCAGATTGGACAATAGACTGAGACCCCGTGCTACCAAGGTTGTACACGTTGAAGATTCTTAGACACTAATAAATCGGGTACGCTAAGGATGCCGTCCTGGCACAATTTTCCTCCTTGTACACTTCAAGGGGTAGCTCGTCCTCACTGACCAAAACAGATGCAAAAAAGTAGGCCGTAAATTACCATTTTATTTCTAAAATATAACTTGTCTTTCAATAAAATGCAGTGATATTATGAGTAATGATCTTCAAAATACTTCTTGAGATGATAATACATGTAGTATATCACTATAACATGTGCACGATCAATATTCTGTTTACAATTTCACTCATCAAGAATCGTCTACACACCCTCCTTATCTTTACTTCTCACATAACCGGGTCGTTTTTTTGTCAGCTTATCACATGTTAACAGGAATTTTACCCACGGGCTAAACCTGAAGCTCTTGATCTTTTTATGTGAGGGGTTCGGAAAGGGAGTTAAACACCCTCGAACGGATGGGTGAATTGGATGACTAAATATTTACATGAGTGTTAAACTTAGTTTTTAATCTAAAGCTAAATCTAAAGCCTTTATAACTATCATTGGGAGGGAGAGGGTGGGGGAGGGGCGTCGACACACCCCTTTATCTACTTCCTCTTACTTCTAGCCTGGAACCAAATTTTTAGAATGGGTGCTCAACTATAAGCCCACTTGCCTCAGAGAGGAAGCGGACTTGAAATATGGATTAGAAAAATATCAGCAATTCTTGATTTATCTACGAATATGCAAACACAGTAAGATTATTATTGCAGTGAATATTGAAAGTTGAATCAAGGGTTTGATATTACCTGACTCGAACACCTGGATAAATCTTTATGGAACCGTTCATATGAAACATAAATACATGTAAAGTAATCTAATATAATTATTTAGGTGATTATTTGTCTAAAGGAGGTAATTCTAAGAAATAATAATATTTATTTATTTTGAAAGCGTTAAGTATTTTTACTTTTAATGTGTTAGTAATAAACTCACACTGTTGAATGAATGAGTTACCATTATTAATTTGATTATTATATACTGACCGATAGAGAGCAGTTATAGAAATAGAGCGCGCATTTCGTTTTTAGTTTTTTTACGGTATATAGTTCTAACTATGTAGGGGGGAGATGGGTGAAGTGGAAAGAAAAGATAGAGAGAAAAGAGCTCGGGGTAAGGATAAACAGACAGGATAGGATATATAATGGATCGCCGGTTGGTATTCTTCCAACCGATTTGATACAATGATCAGTTAACCACAAGAACTTTTTTAAAAGAAATCCATAAGTAGACTCAATGGTCAAATAAACGCACGGAGAATTGTTTCCGAATTGCTTCCCTTGGTGTAAACGTATATAAAACGTACTGTTTCAATTTTGAAAAAAAATGATTAGCAATTCAAAATGTTCCGGTTGAAGACCTCCAGATCGATCTCTTCAATGAAGTCTAAAATAATAATAAAATAATAATAAAATAATCATATACATCGTAAGAAAAGATACAATGGATTCAGGTATTTCTAGACTACACCGTAGTACGTAAAACGCCATGCTATTCCATGCCATTCATCAAAGCTATATTTTTACCTGAAGAACACGTTCTAGATCTGGTAGGGTTATTAGACCAATAAAAAATAGTTAAACGTCAGTTTTATAATATAGGTTCTTTCAAGTGGGCCATAAATCAGAGGCTTATATTGAAGTTTTGACAGAAGATTACCAATAAATATTATCATGACTTCCAATCTCTTTCTTCTCAATTAAAACAGATAGTACTACAGCCTGATATAATCTGCTGTAGTTTTACTCTTAAAGGATCACTACCTCTTAGAATAAACATGAAATTTAAAGGAATGGTACTTCATAGAATGAACTTAGAATCAATCTTGACCAAGAAAGTACACTGGAGCGTGTTTATTCGGTTGCCAATAATCCAGAGACCCCGATACCCGCACGCTTTTTACTGAGAAAGGAATATTTACTATGTAAAATTACCCGTTAATCCGGGTTTCCGCTGTATATATTCATCAGTGGACTAACCAATTGTCATAACTAAACAACAAAATCCACTAAACGACCACTGGGTCTGTGATCAGAACTGCACATTCTGGGGTGCGTGTATGCGTCTACATATCGAAGTAACTCTCTCCCCAAAAAGAATTTTCATTCCGATACTACTTTACGCGTTAACGTTTGTGCACACCTTTCGATTCTCTTGCGTTAACGGGTATCCTGGATGTGTCGCTGTAACAAAAAAACATTACAGTTCACTTTGCCTTTTATGATCTGTAAAAAAAACGAACGATTCGAACTAATTTCGTCGAACTGTGGGTTTTTCAGAAAGAGATTTTACAAGAGTATTTCTAAATAATACGAAGCTTATCCCTAAAACCAAAATGTATGGCTTAAAGCGTCCAAACACTTCTGAAATTATGAATATTCTGAAGTTTTTAATAATTAAACAACTCTAAGAGTTGAAAAATTCAAAGTTTGCAACGGTTAAAAATAGAAAATTTGACTGTATTGTGATAACGTAACGTGATTGTTCCAATGACGTCATTTTCATTGTCATCACTGATTGTTCTGAGTTTCAACCAGAAACAGCGCAATTACCACTTTCTATTGAATTTTACCAAATTTTCAAAAATTTCTGGATTTTATTCACGACTTTTGTGGTAAAAAGGTGAGTTTTCGTTTAATTTTTATGGTGTTTAAGTTTTTGCAAAAAATAATCCAATTCTAAGGTAAAATTTATAAGTTACAAAAGAATGAAAACTTTGAAAAATTCTTACCAAAGAGCCCTGAATGTGTTTTGAGCCCGAGTCTGCTCTGACTGAACATGAACAGTTTAAAAACAACATGTTGTTTGTCTTTCAGGAAATATGACAACTATTGATTCTGGAAAGCCACCTCTTCCTAGGATTGCTCTAGGAGTTACTCTCAGAAAAAGTCAAGGGGAAACCGAGGAAGACTTCGAGAGAAGAACTCAAAAGTTGAACGAGTTTAGAGATTATAAAAGAATGAACTTCCCACAAGAAAATCTGGTTCTCCCTGAGAAACCATTACTTACTAACAGCTACCAACAGCGTCGTCAGTTCCGACGGAAAATGATTCTTACCAATGGATCGTTACGACCTTTTACAACTACGATTAATGGTACGGCCTCTAACATCATGCCAGTATCTTCAGGAGTTGCAGTTATGGATACTGGTGTGTCTGAAAGCATTGTGGGGCGATCAACGTCTACCAGTCCAGTGTCAGATCTAACAGCTATGGCGTCTGCTACGTCAACCAGTCCCGCCCTTTCTTTTGAACAGGAGGATAAAGAACTACAGAAGAAACTGGAAGAAAGAAATCCAGTGATAGATATGTCTGTGTATGTGATTCCGAGGGGAATATTAGATTTATCGAAGTATTTCATCCAGGCGGATGTTAACTCTGATCACCAGGTGGATGTCAACTCTGATCACCAGGTTGATGTCAACTCTGATCACCAGGTTGATGTTAACTTTGATCACCAGGTGGATGTCAACTCCAAGAAGATCGCAGGTGAAATCCTTCAAGATCTTCTCGACAATTTTGATCTTGGTGAAGAAAATGTAAACCTGGCATGCCAGAATGATTCTTCTGAAGCAGGTTCGTTGTAAAGTTATTTGGGTTGAGAAAAGAAGCTTGCCCGGCTGTACCCACCCCCCCCCCCCCCCCCTCCTCTC